ACTGCTCGACCCGCCGGCGCGTCCCGGAGCACGCCGCTGCGCGCAGCACGACGGGACTTGTAGTTTCGGCGCGAAGGTCGCGCGTCGCTCCACTCTCGGTCGAGAGCGATGTCACGTGACCAGAGCCCTCCCCGGAAGTGGCGTCACTACACAAGCGTGGCGCGGCTCGCCGCTTCCGCAAACAGAACCGTGTGTGGCTGTATGGGTGAGTGTGCGGCTCGGACCGCGGCCCTTTTCTTTGTCTGTGGGTCTTCCGCCACCATCAAGGTGGAAGGGGCGCTGCGACTCCCGATAGGAGCTCGCTTTGTCTTAGCCTCGTGCCTTCGGTACCCTTCGCGAGGGGTTTATGATGCCCTCAGCGCGGAGCCAAATGGGCAGTACTTGTGGGAGCCGGTGGGCGTTCTTGCTCCTCCAGACCTAGTGAGTCCGGGTCCCAAGAAGGCCGGGGAGCTGCCTTAGGCCGCTCTGAAGGGTCGGGCGGAGAGTGTGGGAGTGTCAGATATGAAGCAGCGTGTGTGTACTTTGAGCGGCGAATCCGAAACCTGAGCCGGAGGCTTGGCTTAAGAGCTAGGCCGCGTCAGGGACGGAAGAGGGTGAACTTGGCCGAAAAATTCCCTTCTCGCCTGGCCGCGACTTCTTGGGCCCTCGAGTTGACCGGGTCTGGCTGGCGGGTCGGGACGGAGAGCTTATCCCAGTTGAGCGTCAGCCCGGCGGTCCCAGCCCTGTGCTCGGTGGTTCTCTGTGGAGTGAAAAGGCGGAGACGGCTTGCGGTAAAGGTGCCTGGGAAAGCCGGGTCAGAACGTCCGGTCGTTTTCTTGCCTCTCCAACTCCATGTCAGTGGACTCGTCCGTAAACCCCGTCCTCCAGGATTCTGAAGGGCAACACTCTTGCATTTTGGAGTCTATTCGTTGTTACACGTTGACGGTCGATTTCAAAAATTCTCACCTGTTTCTGCCATCGTTTGGAATTTATTGTCATTTATTCTGACCGCATTGATTGTTTTAATGGCATCACATCTGTGGAAGTAGAGTTGCACATATAAACTTCACACCTATTCCCAAAATAAATTTCAGGCGTTAGTTACAGCTAAAGAGGTCATAAAGTCACATTGGTTTATTTCCATTTAAAACCTATTTCTGTTCTTTATTAGGAAATACATTGCAGAGAGGGGATGATAGGGGTTTGATCATTTGGAGGCCAGTTTTACGAGAGAATCATTTTAAGTAGTCATTCTGAAAATTACTCTTTTGGGTGATCTCTCCCCCCCTCTGATTTGGACTTCTGGTCTCCCTTTTCCATTTGTTTTGAATAATACAGCCTAACATTTTAATAGAGTTACATATGTATATATAAGCTGAAAGCATCTGGAAAAGTAATTCGCACAGTGCTTCCTTGAGCTCTTCTATAGTAAGAGTTGACTAAATCTGGTAAGTGACGATAAATGGATCTCCATAACAATTCCTGTTCAGTAGATCACTTATTTCCCTCCTGATCCATTAGGCCTAAGAACATTTGAAAGAGTCTTAATGGTTATTAAGTTGCTGGCTGAGTCTTGAAACTTCTTATCCAAAGCCACTATCTTCACTTTTAAGGGATTTCAGAAGTCAACTACATGTTCCCAGACTTTTCTTGTTATTGTTGCCCTCAGTGTCTCTGATGTGTGTTTTGTGTGTGTATTTTTTTCAGTGTCTCCAGGCCAAAAGAAATACCTAACAGTACCACTCATTAGTAGTTTAGTCCAAAGAATTTAAGTATGCCCTGGCTGGTTTGGCTCAGTGGATAGAGCATCGGCCTGTGGACTGAAGGGTCCCAGATTCAATTCCGACAAGGGCACATGCCGGGTTTGTGGACTCGGTCCC